ATATAACATCAGCAGCTGGCAGGCAGTGATCTCAAAGGACCTGTCGGATCTGGACAACGGGTGAAGCAAGGCAACCCCAAATACCTGTGTCGGGTGAAGCAAGGTAACGGAAGATCTCCGGCACAGGTGGCAATCAGCAGGTGGCAATCAGCAGGTGGCGGGCAGTGATCTCAGAGGACCTGTCGGAGGCTGGGACTTCATTTCAGGTTCTGTGGGATTGATTGACTTACCTCCCAAATGGCAAGCATGTAGCAATACTGTGGCAGATTTCTCTGATGGTTACACCTTCAGCTGTCTGGCTAGGTAGCAGAGGAATGCAAGTTGAACTCAAGTGTGCTCGCTGCAACTGGTCTTTTGAGTCTACGCGGCACCTCTGGTGGGAATGCCCTGCTTCTCGAAGAATTTGGAAGTGGTGGAAATACCACTGGCAGCGTTTTGGCGACCCAGTGGCAGATTGGGAGGAGAATGGGTACGACTGGGATTCCTCCCAGCAGGAGTGCACAGGAACCGGGGGTGGCCCTACATTGCGCAAGTAGCAAGGGGGCTTCTCTGCGAGATCATTTGGAAAGACAGGAATAGGGCAAGATTCCAAAAGAGGCCCTTTTCAGACCTGCAGATTAAAAAGGCAGTGAGACAGGGCCTGAGGGAAGCTATCAGAGTGGACTGGAGGAAAAGAGCAAAGGCTGGAAAGGGGAGCAGAAGGCAACTGCGATGGTTCCTGGACGCGTGGGCTCACCGACATCAGCTGGCGGGAGTTCATAGGACTAAGGGACTGGTCCTCTCCCCGTGCGTGAAAGAGCCAGTACAGGGAGGATAGGATAGTAGAGAGGAGGTAGGTGTGTCAGTAGGTTTGGCAGTAGGTTAGGGGGAACCTGGGCACTCGCTTCCCGCATGGGGTTTGAGCCGCAGGAGGCATAATAGCGGGAGGTGGGTGGCTGAGTGCCACCAGTTACGGGGAATGCGAGTCCCATCCAACTGCTGGGTATGTTGGTTTGGGTGCCAAGAGTAGGCCCCATTAGTAGAAGCATTAGTGACTGGGGTAGAGGAAGGAGGTATCTGTGTTTTGTTAGAAGCAGAACAAGTAGCTGGTAAGTAGTTGGTTGGTGAGGAGCAAGCGTACGCCTGTCTGAAACAGTAGAGTATACTAGGCTGCGATGCTACCAGTAGTAGTAATAGATTCAGAGTTTTTTTTTTTTTTTTTTTTTTTTTTTTTTTTTTTTTTTTTTTTTTTTTTTTTGTGCGGTCCGATGGACCACGGATCAGATATTAAACTGACCAGAACAGATACTACACTTGATATTAACCAAAAGGCCGAGAAAGGTGAGGCAGCAGAATACTTAGTAGAGTGGAAAGTCATGGAAAACAAGTCTCTAAAATAATAGCGGTATTAAATAGTGATGAACTGGAATCTCTCAGTCGTGATGGTGTCAGGATAACTTCCGGGTTGAATTGTGAGGTCCTCCCCGGCCTCAGTGAGCCTTTTTGAATATATGAATTTGCATTTGAAAAAAAAAAAAAAAACCTTTGTTCCTTAAAAAAAAAACAAAAAACAAAAAACTTTGTTCCTTTTTTTTGGGCTAACGACATTCTCTACTCGCCTTCCGACAAAGCAGCCCCCTGTGGCTCACTGCCGGGAATGCAACCGGCAGCCCCCTGTGTCCAGGTTCGGCAAGTTGGTTTCTTCATATTAGCCTATGATCCTCCGTGTTCCGGAGCCGGCTGCCCTACGATCTACGGTGCCAGTACTACCGTCTTCCCCCGAACATAACGCACCCTAAAAATGAATGCATACAAGCTATATTTCCGGCCAGATGCAGCCAAAATAAGGGTGCGTTGTGTTCGGGGGAAGACGGCAGGCCTCTCTCGCTGTGAACGGTTGCGAGTCCGTGCCGCTGAGACCAGGTGCGTATGAACAACGGACCTGCTTTTTACTTCCCATTCCTGACTTCGCTCTTCTTCTCCAGTCGACCCTGATTGGCTTCTGTCAGACCCGATTTAAGCAAATTTTTTTTTTTTTTTTTTTTTTGTTAATTTGTTGATCAAACTCTTGATTTCCAGGTCCGACAGAGGCTTGCCTTGGAATCTTGCTCTATTTTCTGTCCTTCCAGATGACTTCGCATATGAGACCGCGAGTGGCATCTGGTACACAGGCCCAGCCGCTCTTTCCATTCGAGTCTTGCGGAAGCAAACCCATCAGAGCCCAGCATTCGTCCTATTTTACTGACAGACCTCCGAATTCCTCCCTGTGGTTTTGCCACCCCACTTCCATATGCGTTTCGAGGCTGGGCCTTCCCACCACAGGTCAGTATTGCACCACCTCACAGGGGCCTCGTCGATTCGAAAGGCTTTCGTGAGCACCTGGAGCATTTCAAGTCCACCTGCAAGGACACCTCTACCCACCAGCCAAACTGCTGAAGGTGTTATGCTACCAGCAAGGAGAGTGTCCATAAGATGCTCACCTGTTTTCCGGTGGGAGGGTAAGTGAGTATCTTCCACAGTTTACCAAACTGTGCCTCCGCTGATGAGAGATCTTCTGTTAATACTGCCTGCTGCCATCTGCGGATGGCTACCGCGGCTGGTGGGTGGTGGGGGTCTATCCTTCAGTTCAGTCTGAGCCTGTATCCTTTCGCCACCGTGTATTCTGATAAGAGCAGTGTGATTACCTCTCCCGGCGCATCGGACGACCATCCCCAAGCCAGAGGGTCAATGCTCAGTCGGCTTAACGTAGTTCTCCCCGTCCAGGTCAGGTTCATCTTGGGAGTCTTGGCTTTGCTTTCCACCGCACGTATCGGTTGGGGATTCTCCCATACCAAAAGGACTTTGTCATCAAGTCTGACGAGTCTGTTCGTGTAGTCTTTACATAGCCACCGCTCCACTTTCCGGAAGCCACTGGGTAGGATTTCAAGCAGCTTCCAGACTACATCACTGTCCCCCTCCTGATCTGAGGTGTATCATGTACCCGGGGGGTCGATGCCCTCTGGGCCCAGGAGAGCATGCCACTCCTTTGGGACTGAGTCGATGATTAGCTGCCAGTGGTCTTGCACCTTTTTTTTTTTTTTTTAATTTATAAATTGGACCATTTCTCGATTTATGCGTGTCATCCTTGCGCAGGGGCCATGCTAATCTTCTCTCTGTATCGTTCCAATTTTAACGGATGTCCTGAAGGACTGGTCTTCCACATTTCTAAGGCCTGTCCGTTTGGCTTTTATCTCCGCAAGTGGGCGCCGGTTTCCCAGTATCGTAGACCACACACAGGTCCTCCAATCTCACTTAGCCCCTACACACCCATGCCTGGCCGAAAGAGCCGGTAGAGCCATCTGCAGCGAAAGGAATGCCAACTGCACTTCTGGTCCTCGGGTTGTCGGATATGAGTTGAGATAGGACCTCCCCTTTGGACTTGGGGGTCCTGTGCGTATCGGCGGAGGTAGGCTGTGCCATGCTCTTCTGATTGTATTCCAAAATGCAGACTTCACCTTCCTTTTGCAGAAGGATTTCATGAACGTACACCAGAAGAGCGCATGGCACAGTCCTCGGGACCTCTGCGCCCAGCAGTCCTCGGGTTTGCCAGCTAAGATTCCACTCTCTTGCCAGGATCCGTTCCGCCAGCTCCACCCAGTTTTCCTTCGCCGTGGCAGTTGATATTCTACAGAGATCCAGTTTGCCAGCTGTGCCTTGCTTGTTCTTCTGTGCGGGGTCTGCCAAGCCTAATCCACCCTGGGAGGGGGGAAAGGTCAGCAAGTCCCAGGGTACCTTGATGAAAAAGCCTTCGGCTGCCTTCGCCCTTTGGGTTCCAGATGAATCTGGCAACGAACCTTTTCAGTGCCCTGATCAATCGATCACCACTTCCGCAATCTCCCTTACTGTACGGACAAACCACAGAATCGAAAAGAGAGCCATGATGGCCACAGCGCCCGACCAATCAGTGAAAGGCGCCAGGCTGAACCACAGATCCTGAGCTGAACAACTTTTGCCTCAGGGTCACATTGAAATTCTTTACCAAATGTAAAAACAAAATAAAAAAAATCATATATATTTTTAATATTTTTGAATTTGTTCTCCAGTATATATATATGTTAATATTTTTGAATTCTTTCTTGGGGCGCCCAGGCAAGTTGTCCCGGGCCACTCTGGTAGCCTGTTGTACCCCCAATTTGACTACCAGCCTCGCCCGAACACAACGCACCTCGATAATGGATGTATACAAGCCATCTTTCTGGTCCGGTGCAGCCAAAATGAGGGTGCGTTGGGTTCGGGGGGAAAAAAAAAAAAAATTTAAAAATCTGAAAAAAAAACTATGTTATGCAGAATAATAAACTGAAAAACTTTTGCCACAGGATCACATCGAAATTCTTTACCAAATTCAAAATCCAGTAAGTTAAATAATAATTTAATAAATAACTACTAAAATAAAAATATGTTTTTTATTTTTATTTTCAATTTTTAATTTTCTTTTCTGGCCCGACCGGGCAAGCGGTCCGGGCCACTCTGGTAGCCTAGCTTGTGGATAATGTTGTGGATAATCTTGGGGCGAGCCCTAGATCTGAAAATCCACGTGTCAATCTGTACGGTAATGGCTGTGTGGGCACTACGTTCCGCTCTTGTGGATAATCTTGTAGATAATTTTGTGGATAATCTTGTGGATAATCTTGTGGATAATCTTTTGGATAATAACCTTCCGGATAATCTTCAGAGTCGTTCAGGGTCTAAATCTGGATAACGTTCTTGGGTCATTTTTTTTTAGCTTGTTAAACGTTGTTGGTACTTCTGCTATCAGTTCGTTCCGTTGGAGTGCACATGTATGTAGTATGCGATTGGTATTCAACAGATGTCATTGACGTCTTGTTGTTCTGGTTGAATTTGGGCGTAAGTAAGGTCAGATGCATTCAGATGCCTTCGATCAGAAGAAATATCTGCTCACTGGGAGTTGTTTTTGGTTGTATGGACTGATTGATCTGTTGACGTCTCATTGTCTGGACTGGTTGATCTGTTGAGATCTCAAGGAGGTGGAGTACTACCAGGTACGAGAAGTTCTACGATGTAAGTGCTTTTCAGCTCCTGCCCATTCCCCGCACTCCCCTCGGTTTCTGATCAATCAGCTGATACGTGCGTGCGTGCGTGTGTGTGTGTGTGTGTGTGTGTGTGTGTGTGTGTGTGTGTGTGTGTGTGTGTGAGAGAGAGAGAGAGAGAGAGAGAGAGAGAGAGAGAGAGAG